AAATCATGTAAGCATGAGGTTAAAGAACGTTTCTTAATTAATCCCCAAAAACTTTCTTTACAGCATTTGAGGATGAAGATAGCAAAAAAGATGATGGGATTTCTTTTAGTCTTCAGTCAGGACCTGCATGGGCAGGCTCAGAAAGGGACTACACATATGATGAGGTAATGTTCCAGAGACTTTTAAAATGTATTTTCCATGTTCATCTGTATCAGTAGAGTGTTATGCTCATATTTCCTATTTCTAGCTTCAGAGTGGAGGACTTGTAGTCAGTAGCTCACGAGCAGAAGCTAACAAGGCATGTTTTCTATCACAGTAATTTTCACAGGGGGCAATATTTGTCATAGTTCAAACAGCTCTGCCATGGGCAGAGGAAACCCTTGGGGAAGCAGTGTTGGGATTTTGCATTTATCAGAACACTTTAAATGCGTTCTGAACAGGTGGGGAAATGCTCTTAGGTAGAGGTAGTCTGATATTCACTGTGAATGCTGTGGCTGTTAGAGGTGAGGTGCAGTGAGGAGTGGCAGGTGCTCATGTGGCTGTGAATCCCTTCTCTTGCAGTTGCTCAATAGAGTTTTTAACATCATGCGGGAGAAGAACCCGGACATGGTGGCTGGAGAGAAGCGGAAATTTGTCATGAAGCCCCCGCAGGTTGTGAGAGTAGGGACCAAGAAAACGTCTTTTGTCAACTTCACAGATATCTGCAAATTGTAAGTTTCCCGTTTGGATTTCCCAGGAATAGCAGATGGGTGCACTGCTCTATTTCCTGTAGAGTTTTCTGGCAAGTGGCTGTGGCAAACCAGGAGTGGAAGCTATTTCAGTCAGAGAGCTCATTACATTTCTCTGTGAGAAGATATTTCTGAACATGATTTATTGAGATAATTTCTAATTTTATACTTAAATTACGAAAATGGTACATGGGCTGAAACTTGGTGAGTTCTTTGGGTTCTAGAAAGTTGGGTCACCAGTGACATTTATGTGCAAGCCTTGAGGAAAAGGATGGGAAAAGTTCTTTCTAAATTGAGCTGACTACAAATACTGTTCTCTTGGTAAATGATATGGACTCCAGTAGTGTTATCCCACTGTTTCCTGCAGTGGTATCTGTGTCTTAATTATGTCCTGTGAAGGCAGGTCTGTTCTTTGTGAGCACTTCTGGGAATGCAGATCTGATGGGTATCAAAAGTGTGCCAGAAGACAGGCCTGGTGAAACCCTGCTGAGGATCTGGATTGTGCACTAAGGGGCGTTTTTAATGGTAGTACTAATGTTTCTTCAGGGGATGGGACAGTAAGAATGAAAAATCTTTAATGGAAAACTTTTTTTTTCACTAGTTGATGTAATTTTGAGTTGGGGACAGTGGGAGGTTTTCTTGTGTGGACTGTTCAGGTTTCTTGTGTCCTCATTAATTGTGTGTGTGCTCTTTGGTGCAGACCCCTGGCACTGCTCCCTTTGAAACTTTCTGACTTAAGTTGGATTTACCCTGCCAGTCCTGTATAAATACCAAATTTCTCTGAAGGGGGAAGGTTAAACATTTCCTTCCTTTATTTTTAGATTACATCGTCAGCCAAAACATCTCCTGGCTTTTTTGTTGGCAGAATTGGGTACAAGGTAAGGCTGCTGGGCTGTGTGTGTCCTCAGGATTGATATTGGTCAAATATAACATTTTTGGGGTTAGATCTGTATAGATGTGCTGGACATGAGGCTTTTGTTCCCTGCACTTCAGTGCTGTGCTGGGTGATTGAGGAGAGACCATTTTAGTGAGGAATAGTACAGAGGGAAACTCCAAGTCCAAGGGAATGGTCTTGTTTATTCCTCTGAGACAGACAGGTGAGGGTTGTCTGGGCAAAACTTCCTGTAGGAAGTAGCTCTTAAGTACCTCAGAATTTTGCATCATTTTGTCCCTACAACACAATTTTGGCTGTGCTCTTCTTGAAGAATATATCCTTGTCTTGCTTCATGTTCCTGATTGTTTTAATGCTTCACACCTGCAAATCAAATAATTAATTTTCTCTTTTCAATTAGTGGTTCAATAGATGGTAACAACCAACTGGTAATCAAAGGAAGATTCCAGCAAAAACAGATAGAAAATGTCTTGAGGAGATATATCAGTAAGTAGAACTCCCTTTCCCCCTGCAGATTTCTCTCAGGCCCCTTGTGATGCCCATGGGCTCATGTATGGCCCAGGTGTGTGCCCACCATGGAGGAGGCTCAGGAGCCACAACTGTCCTTGTCATGGAATAATGCAAATACAGGTGGTTCTGCCCTGCAGTAAAGCATGCCAAGGAAAACAGCATTTGAGAACTGCTTGTTTTCATCTGAGCCTCATATCTTGGCTTTGATGAGGACTGTGGAAAACAATACTAATTGTTGATTTTACAGTCTGTGGTACCCTGTGAGTTGACAGATGCAGTGTTAAAATACGTTCTGTTCAAATGCCTTTTTTGTTCC